CGATACACACCCTAGCAAAAGATAACCGACGCTTTTCAACTGTCATCTGGTCTGAACAAATCGAGCACCCAATGACACTAGCCACCTAACTAAGCCCAACTTCAAACCAAAGATAAAGTTTCAATCCTGGGAACTTTAACCATAGGGGAAGGGATTTTAGTTCTGGTTTATCCATGGAATAGCTCTGGAGACTAGGCCCATAGCACCACTGGAGCTTTATTTACAAGCCAGGTTCCTTGTTCAATAACCGTCTGTCTCCGAGATAAGTCTTGAAACTCAAAGATGAAATATCCTGATTCTAGGGCAAAGAACTCCACATGACTGAACTGCCTCCATTTATTTTCAACAAAATGCTTTATGACAAAGAAAGAAGGTTTTGGACCCAGAACAAAACCCACTAACGCGTTCGACCGAACTGCCTCCATTTATTTTCAACAAAATGCTTCATGGCAAAATGTTCAATAACCGCCGACGGTATTAGACATTGCTCTATATTCGTGACCTGCACTTAGGTGGTGGTTGGTCAGTTTTCTATCTGGGTTTTGTTTCTCTTCTAAGCCTTTAACAGGATTTTGACATTTTGAATATTTATAACTCACAGGTGGAAGTTGATGCATAGAGTGTAAAATATTGACATTTTGAATATTTATAACTCTACAGTGGAAATCAGAAATTTGCATTACGCCTATCCCTACATTTCTAAAAAGAAAGGGAAATCTATAATGCAGGAAAAACATGATATAAAAAGGCTTTAACCAATTATAACCATCTGTGAATTTTGATGAAAATCCACCTGATTAATTACTACTTTTATTATACCGGTCGATTGATTGTAGGTTTTTCCAGCAGAAGGTTATTAATTTAGATGTATTTGCCCACCTTGAAGTTATTTGGACCTTTTCTTTAGTTTGGTAATTGGTGTTGTCATCTTTCAAGCGGCCACATATCTTATCAGTTTGTACCTGAGCAAGGGCGGAGCCAGGTTAATTACGGGATACATTTCGGTAGTTGATCAAATTGCTAATATATTCGCCGAACCATTGCACTTTTTAACTGTTACACTCATAACTTTTTACCTATTTTTTTGTAGTTGTTTTAAGGTTGCCTAATTTTTAGCTTAATCGGACTAAACCACCCCCGAGTGGGTGTCATCGAGATTTTATGCTGTATTTAGGCCGCTTTCAAATCAAAATAGGGTTATTTTAGTAATTTGCACCATATGCAATGAGTATTGTTGAGCCATGAATTATTTGTACCACATGCAATCAGTGAAAATCAGACATATAATCCTACTCTTGTGTGATGGCATTTAGGGTTGCTTACGGATTGGATCGAATTAGATACAAGCATATGTCAATTTGTTTATATTTGAATTTAAATTGAATCATATTCATCATATATTCAAATCGAATTCGGATTATAATTAAATATTTATATAGTACAAATAAATTAGATTAAAACTGATCAAAATATTATATTATTAATAAATGAATTAAAAATCAATTTAATATTATATTTTATGAACAAAATGAATTAAAAGTTAATTATATAAAACTTGAACATGACAAGTTTAGATATTCAAGCCAAGTTTAGATATATCTTTATTTGCATGTTTATATGTTATTTTCCCTCAAAACATAATATATGTCTAGGGATGCAAACGGATCAGATCGGATTGGATTCGAATCAGGGTACATTCAAATCCAATCCAACATTGTTCATGTCAAAGATCTGATTAGATTTGATAGGATTTGATTTGAATTTGAATCCTATCAGTAGTTCGGATCTTTGGATCTGATCTGATCTAACTTGTTTTTTTTAATTAATAAATTATAAAAAGAAAAATAAAATATACTAATTTCAATAAAGCAAAAATAAAAAATACAAGTATTTTTTAATTATTTTCATGTATATACATGTTTTTATAAAAAATAAATAATATAACAAGTTTATAAAAATATAATATAAAAAATATATTTATAACTAAATAAATAGCATATATATGTATTATATATTTATATTTATAAATATATAATATATATCGGATGAAATCTTCGGATCAGATAGGGTGATYCAAATCCGATCCAAATATCTAAATAGGAATGATCCGATTTCGACCAAATAAGATCGGATATCAGATATGATCCGATCCATTTGCACTTTTAATCATGTTCAAGCCGTCACAGTTTTTATTTCATTTTGATATGTTAAATAGCGGCTAGATAGATTAGCTAACCTGGGTTTAACCCAATTCGACGTAGACAAAATATCTTAGCTTTAGTGAAGTACAACATGCACCTGTTTTTGTCTCTCCATCATCTTGCTGCATCCCACGACCACTAAGATGGGACCAAAAGTGGCAAAGGCAAAAAGCAGAGGTTACACAAACATCCCCAATTATTAACAATGTTGTATTCTGTTTATCTTACTAATTTATGTTGCCATCTGAGTTGGTTGTGTGGTTTTATCATTGTATTTTCTTGCTATGTAATGAAGTATCACTAAAGAAGAGTTTCTATAAAATTAGGTGGGGTCCGTTTGGTTTGTAGTTGGAATCGGAATTGAAATGGTCCATTTTCATAGTCTGTTTGGTTCAGACGGGAATGAGAGTGGGAATTAAAATTACCAGAAATGGGATTTTATTCCCAAAAAAGGAATAGAGAATGGTCATTCCCTTAAATGGGGAGAATGCTATTCCAACAGGAATCGAAATGGGGTTCCAATTCCGCTCAACCAAACAGTTGGAATCGGAATAGCTCATTCCAATTCCGATTCCAAACCCCTATTCCCACGAACCAAACAGGGCCTCAGTTTATGAAAACTCATAGTCATTTACCCTTATATGCATATAATGCGTGTAAAAAACTTATTTTATAATCATAGAATATAAAATATGAATTATACATATCATATTATAATTTATTTATTTATTTATTAATATATACAGGCCAGGCTTGAAGTATTGGGCCTAAGCCCAGTATAGAAATTTGTAGGACTAATGCAGGCCTAGGCCCGGGCCGAGCTTAAATTCATAGCCTAGCCCAAGCCCGGAATTTGTGGGATGGGCTACGCGGGTTTGAAAGATGAGCTGAAAATGGTCACCTCTACTCACAACAACCCTCCGTTCATTGCTCACCTCTCCCATTTACGGTGCCTTTGGGCCTTGGCTAGAATACTTCTAATACTTCTCATTTCAAAAATGGGAAATTCAAGTGCCATGTGTTCAGGCTGTGGGTCTACTACGAACACATTTTATGTAGTCTTCGTTGTAGTAACAGATCCCATGTGCCATTTGTGCTTGATAAAAACCGTTCTTCTATGGGTTGTATTCTTTAATTAGGTGTTTAGAATCGATGTTGTTTTGTTGAAAAATAATTATACATCAGCGTTATGTCTAAAATATATTTTCTGAAGAAACGTTATTATTTGGTTGGGTGTTTTCCTAAAAAATGTTTTCTCAGACCATTCCTTGGTTTATGGGTTGAGAAAATGCCTCTTTTGACCCTTTTCTCATTTTTTCTACTGTTGTTAGCAATAGTGTGTTGATATGGCATTGAAAAATGCCTATGTGGCATCAATGGTCCCAAACAAAAAGAATCCGTTTTCTGAGAAAACAATATATGCATACAAAACGATGCTAGAAAAACAATACCAGTTTTAAACGCTGCCGAGTCTTTCCAATGTATATAAGATCATCAAAAAATAGGAGGTTGGTTCTACCCGAACTGAATGGAAACCAATCTCAAACTGGCCTTCGACCAATCCTATCCAACTTGTTACAAGGTAGGGCATGGTTCCAAATTCTTAAAACCGATCTCAAACCGGCCTTGGACCAACCCTATCCAATCTATTACAATGTAGGGTCTGGTTTCAAATTCTTGGAACCGACCCCCACATATGTTGGTTTCAGGGTCCAGGGGTTTACCCTACCCAAATCAACTTGATGAACACCTTTGTGGAATTGGCCTTGAAACCAAATTTACCTCAAAATAAACTCTAAAATATTTTTAAGGATGTGACTATTTGAATCTAAGAACTCATGGTTACAAAAGTCATGATCTTACTTTACCATTGAGTTACTTAAGTGATTTGATAATTTGCTTCCATTTTAATATTTGAATGTGTATAATAAATAATGTAAAAGGTAATATTTACAAAATTTAAATTATAATAACAAATTTTGGACCATATATTAATATGTTATGATAATCTACATATTAAATTACTCAATTTAATCAATAAAGAAAATATAAGTTTTAAACTATATATTATCACTATTGAAAGTCAAATTTTTAAAGGACATGTTTCATTTTATTATTATTATTATTATTATTATTGAAGGGGAAGAATAAGGAAAGAAAGGTTTTATGGGTATATCTTAGAACCATCCCTAAAACCATCAAGGCCAGAACCAACCTTCATAAGATAAATTCTGATTCCAAAAACCTAAAACCAACCCCTACAAAATAAATTCTAGGTTATTCCATGAAACCAAACCGATGCTCGCCCCTAGTCAAAAACAAGTCTCCATCTTTTGTGTAGGTATGTCAAAAAAGAAGAAAAAGGCGCAAGTATTTATACAAATATGTAAGAAAAAGAGAAAGGACGAAATGGTCCTACAAATTAAGGAAAAAATATTTAATAGGCACATGACGATCACGATGAGGGGTAAGTGTTAGAAGCTGAAAAGTTCAGGAGTCCTTGTGGCAAATGAAATTTCAGGGGGTTAATAATTAATCACTACCTCAGAGTAGGGTGGTAATATGAAATTTACCCTTGTTTATTATCAAATTGACACGTGGCAAAATAAACATGTGATGCGTATACGGACTGTTCTTGCGTCGAGTTCCGAAGTTGAAACTTGAAAGTCTGGCCAAGAACGTTGCGCCAGCACAGATTTCGCTCCTCCATTACTCCCTGAACAAAAACAATTCCATTTATCAAAAAAAAAATAATAATAATAATAATTTCAAACAAATCCATGAAAACACCACATTCCTTATTCCCTCGCTCGCTATTTTCACCTTCAAAAATGGCCAACTATTCCGGCACTCCCCCTAATCTATCTTTATCTATTCTATTTCTCGTCCTCTCCAGCCTCACCGGAGACGCCACCGCTGTTTACTCTATCGATGTTAACTACGGCACCCTTGGTAACAACCTTCCACCTCCCGCCCAAGTCGCTACCTTTATCAAACAACGGACCATCATAGACAAAGTGAAGATCTTCGATACCAACCCAGATATTCTCCGGGCTTTTGCCAACACCGGAATCGCCATTACCGTCACCGTTGGCAATGGCGACATCCCCCAACTCGCAAATCTTCCCGCCGCTCGAAACTGGGTGGCCACCAAAATTACCCCGTTCTACCCACAAACTAAAATAAACCGAATCGCTGTCGGGAATGAAATCATGGCCACTGCAGATAAAAACCTCATAATCCATATGGTCCCAGCTATGAAATCCCTCCATGCCGCTCTGAGACTAGCTGGAATCATGGACATTCAGGTATCAACACCACACTCACTCGGTATTCTCTCTATATCAGAGCCACCGAGCCTGGGTCAATTCCGACGTGGCTATGACAGAGTTATTTTCTCTCCCATGCTCCAATTCCTGAGGGAAACTAAAGCGCCGTTCATGGTAAATCCATACCCGTACTTTGGCTTCACCGCCAAGACGTTGAACTACGCACTCTTCAAGCCTAACCGAGGCAAGTATGACAAGTTTACGAGGATAACATACACCAACATGTTCGATGCGCAGCTCGATGCCGTTTACTCGGCGATGAAGAAGTTGGGCTACGGCGATGTCGATATTGTGGTGGGGGAGACAGGATGGCCGTCGCTTGGGGATGCGAACCAGCCGGACGTTAACATACAGAACGCCATCTCGTATAACGGGAACCTCATCAAGCACGTGAACTCGGGGAAAGGGACACCGTTGATGCCTAACCGGAGTTTCGAGACGTTTATTTTTGCGCTGTTCAACGAGAATCTGAAACCAGGGCCGACCCCGGAAAGAAATTTCGGGCTGTTTCAACCGGATTTTACACCGGTTTACGACTCAGGAGTTATGCGTGGACAAGTAAGTCGTCAATTAATTTTTCTCTTTTCTTCTCTTATCCACACTTGGAAGGCAGCTAGCTCTAAAAAGAAGAAACTCCACTTATTTGGTTGTGGTGGTTGCAAATGCAAAGCTTTCGCTTTTTTTTCCCCCTTTTTTCCCTTCGCCCCTGTCTTTCTTCATTCCTTGATAATGTCGAAAACAGCCAGTCTATAGGAAAATGAAAAAAAGTGGACCAAGTCGTAAATTCGTTGAAATTTGAGGTCATTGAAAGGCTCTCCTTGCAATATTTTTGCTTTTGGAGGCAGAAAATCTTCTGCGTTTAGTGACGAGGAAGAATGTGCTGAAAGTCCGAAATATCCTTATCAAGCACACCTTGATTCCCATGATCCAAGAGAAGAAAGCGATAATGTTAGGAATTACTTAGCAGTTAATATAAAAAAGTAATCCCTAATAAAGGTTTTATTTTATGCAATGATGTCTGGGTTGGTTGGTTGGTGCAGATGAGGGGTCGGAGACGAAGGAGGAGGCGAGGAGCACCGGCGGGGAAGGTGTGGTGTGTGCCGAAGGCGGAGGCGAGCGATGAAGCGCTGCAGGCGAACATCAACTACGTGTGCGGTACCGGAGTGGATTGCAAGCTAATCCAGCCGGGTGGGAATTGCTTCGACCCCAACACCATCAGGTCTCACGCATCCTACGTCATGAATGCTTACTACCAGACAGCCGGTCGTCACTCCTTCAACTGCGATTTTTCTCACACCGCTGTTCTCACCACCACCGATCCCAGTATCTCTCTATCCCTTTTCTCTTTCAATATTTAATTCATATTCGAGCTAGCTACCCTTGAAGCCTGAATGAATGTAATAGTGTTTATATAAATTGTTGTTGTTGTTTGTTTGCTTTGAATAACTAGTACGAGTGCGGATGCAGGTCATGGCACATGTCAGTACATTTCTTGAGAGAGAGAAACCAAAGTGGAGACTGCCGGTGAACTGGTGAAGGCGAGCGTGGATGAAACGACATGTTCAGATGCATCGGCAGCTAGGCTGCCGTGCGTTATTTGAAATGAAAATTGAAAATTTAATTTTACTCTCTCTCAGTTTGAAAACATACAGTGCAAATACATACCGAAAATTACTAAACAGTACCGTTGAACTTTGGGGTTCTGTCAAGTCATTCCCCGAACTAAACGTTTCTACACAATATCCTTAATTTTCAAATTATGTCTAATAGGTATTTATCGTTAGTTGGTGGTTAGTTAATACCGTCATCATATGACATTAAATGCGTATTAAATAATTTGAAAATGACAAAATTATCTTTTATAATATTTTTTTGACCATTTTATTCATTTCTTCTGAGTATTAAAAGAAGGAAAGCGGAAGAAGAATTATGAAACTGGACACCAATCAACTCTTGAAGTTCCCGCTCTTTTGTTCAATCTCCCTCATTCAACGATCAATTGTAATCGGACGATCACTTGTACTTTCTTTCTTTTAATACTTAGATAAATTGGGTAAAATAATTAGAAAAATATCATAAAGGATAATTTTGTCATTTTAAAAATATTTAATGCATATCTGATGTCACATGGTGTTGACTAACAATAGGGACCTATTAAACATAATTTGAAAGTTCAAAATACTGTAGAGACACATTTTGAAGTTTAGAGATTGACTTGACACAACCCCCAAAGTTCACGGTCTATTCAGGAATTTTCTCTACTAAATATAAGTTTTACACTATATATTTGTATTTGTGCTCTCTGTAAAATAGACCTTGTTGGGAAAGAATAAAAATAAGAATACAAATATGTACAATAATACAAAATACAAGGTTAATTTTGCACTCTACATAGTTGTATTTGTATTGAGCCTAACTGCCTAAGCTATAAAGAGCATTAAATGATTTTTTTTAATCTATGGTATTGAATTCTGATGTAGCAGAATCCGGTCACTCCTACCTGGTGCTCATATGGCTCCTGAGAGGTACCTAAAAAGAGAGAAAAAAGGAAGAACTCCCGAGGGGTTTCCCGACGGGAACGCTCCGATGCTTAAGTTAGTATTGTGTGCAAGAAGCGAAAGGAAAACGAAGGCTAAGAGTGAGGATAGTGCCTTATCATTATGTTCAGGAGGTCGAAGATTCGAGAGAGATTTCCCTTCTGCCCTGAGGGCTTTTATGGGGACACTCACTTTAGGTCGGGCATAACCGCCACTGGGCTCCTACCACAGTCGTTACCTACCAGGGCTGCGCAGGTGGCCATTGTGGTGTACACTTTGCCCAGGTGAGTGACACGTTTCCAAAGTGGCAGGCAYGCCTTTGCTTGTCGAGAGACGTGGACGCAGACTGTCGAAAGGACTATGACTACGCCGTCAGTAGAGGATATGGCACAGTCTGACCAGTACGGTCTGTCTGTCGGAAGCTTCCTGGAGGGCGCTAATGCGGCTCGTTCGCGAGCTATCTCGTGACGAGCTTGGGATACTCCAGGATTACCTTAGTGAAATTGGTCCTCGGAATGACTTGTCTGTTAGGGAGCTCGGGCGAGCTAATAACTTTAGCTCGCGAGCTACAATTGCCTCGGGGTATCTCTTCGAAGATAGCACGGGGAACCCGGAGTTTGCCTTGCGGCGGACTCCTCCCCTCGTGAGCTGTAACGTAGCAGACTGCTTCATGGGTCCGTCATTTGGTCGCTCCGGATTCCAATGCTAGGTTGTCGCTCATGCTAAGTCGGCGTCTACGTGTCACCGTTTCACAGGTTGGGTCAAATCATCATTCATCAATTGCCCCCCACTCCTCGAGCTAAGAGTACCGCCTTAGCACGGGGAGTTTATGAAGTGCGATGGACTGATTTGACCGAAATTCAAACTTGATTGACTGCCCTTATTAAATGCATTTGCGGGAATCAAGAGATTTTCTGACTTTCCTGACTTTTCGGATTCCGAAAACGTGCTGAGGTGGCCTTTAACTCCAAACGTCGTGCGGCTACGACTACCTTAACTATGGAAGACGTGCCGCCAATCACCTTTGATTTTCAGAAGGCATGCGGTCAAGGCGCCCGCGGACCATTGGATTTGCTTTGATCCGGGTCGTCAACTTGAAAGGGTGGAGACTATAAATAGGGGGCCCCCTCGGGCTCTACTTTCTCCCACGCCATCTTGCTGTCCTTGGATTCTGAGGTTGCGCACTTCACTTAGTCTACCCGAGTTCCTCAGTTTGCTTCGTTTCGTTTGCTCTGGTGAGTCCCAATTGCTGTCGGCCATGTCTGGGTACCCATATCATACCTATCATAGGGGCGATAGCCAGGATGATGATGCTCCCTCGAGCTCGGGGGGTGCCTGGGAGCAGATCCCGGAGGCTCGGGAGGCCTCTGGCGACATGGTGTCTACTTCTAGGGGGAGGGAGCCTAATACCTTTGGCCCTTCCTTAATGACAGCGGAGAGACTCAGGTCTCTGATCTGCTACTTTCGCCTCCTTGGGGATCTGGTTTACAGCCTCCCTACTGGTAACTTCCCTTGGGAGTATGGTTCCGATGACATAGTAATCTTTCAGGAACAACTCGAGGCCGGTTTGCGTCTCCCCCTGCACCCCTTGATAGTGGAGGTGTTAAATCACTTCAACGTCACTATTGACCAGCTTCATCCCAACGCCATTTGAAACATGGTTGGGACAATATCCCTGTGTCATGAGTACTGCCTTCCTTTGGACCTTGATATTTTTGTCTCTATCCTTTGTATAAAGAACGCTGCTCTTGGGGTTCCTCCGAAGAGGTGCTTTTATTACCTCTCTCCCCGCCGCGGCTATAAGCTCTTGTATGAGCTGTCGAATAAGATTCCCGCCTGGAAGCGGGATTACTTTGTGGTCCGTAACCCCGAGGGGTGGCCCTTCCCCACTGCATGGAGGGGTGCCATCCAGGACCCCGGGGCCAAGCTGGATCCTAAGATTCAGAAAACGATGCTGTCATGGGCGTCAGTAGGCTTTCTTTGCTCGGACTACTTGACCGAGGAGAAGCTCGTGTAGGCAGGCTTGAGCCCGGGTAGGTTGGCCTTTTAGGTCGCGTAGTTCCTTGTGACTATTGTGTACACGTGTATTTTGTTTCTTGTCGGACTAATATCTTGTGGTCTTTTGGCAGCCATCATGTCTAGTGCCGATTCACGTCGCCTTCTCTCGAGCAGCCAGAGGCGCCATGCGAAGAGGACACGCCCCGACCGGACCCCTCCTTCGGGAAGCATTGAGTTCGGGTCTACCGAGCCGGTCCTACCCTCTCCTCCGCCCGAGGTTCTGATGCCCCCTCCTAAGGGGGCTAGTGGGATTAACCTTGGGGGAAACGAGCTCCCTCAGCCGGGGGAGGCCCCCTGTAATCCCCTTCAGCCCCGTCCTTACCCCCGGTTCCCAGTGGGAAACTGGGAAGGGGTGAATGATTATCTGGTGGCTCGCCGGAGGAGTCGGAAGGCGATCACTAATGACGAGATCGCTCAGTGGGGAAACATGGAGCCTAGGGATCTCTCCGCATTCGCCTCTGCCCATTGCATGGTGGTAAGTGACCTTTTTCCCTTTTTCTCTCTTGTTTTGCCCTTTTCTGTTGTCTTCTGATCTTCTTTTCCGTCGACAGGTGAATTCCGCCATCCATGCCATGTCTCTCCAGACGCGCATCCATCGTGTCGACGCCCTCGACCAGCGGGCCACCAACCAGAAGCTCCAGGGCGAGCTCGACCGGATCTAGGGCGAGCTCCACCACACCCGCAAGGGGAGCGAGTCTCAGGAGCTGCTCGTCCACGACCAGGAGGCTCAAATCGCCCGGCTTATTGAAGAGAGTGTACGTTACAGGGAGGAATCATCGAGGATGGCGACGGAGAGGGAGCTCCTCAGGCAGTAGGTGCGAGATTTGGAGTCCACTCTTCTGAATCGGACTCGAAACTTTGATTAGATGGTGGAGGCTGAGCGAGAGAAAGCGGTCTGGGATTATAAAGACTCCCAGGAATTTCAGGACCTCCAGGCGGAGTACGGTTTAGGTTTGTACCGCTCGGGGTTTAAGCTCTGCCGGTGGCGGGTTTGGAAGAAGTTCTTCGGACCCAACCTCGACTGCATTACTATGAAAGGTCTGTCTCCTGAGACAACGGACCAAGCGGATGAAGAGGAGCCTGACTCTCCAGAGGATGAGGAGGCGGATCCTTGAGGCGGCATTTCTCTGGGCTTCTGGTGGCTTCTGGGTGCTGTAAACCCGGTCTTTCACAAGTCTTCGGTTGGGCGGTTGTGCCCTATGATAATCAAACCTTTCCCGAGCTGTTTAGCTCGGTTACCGCACTTGTTATTTTTCTTCTTTCTTTTCTTTTTTTTTTGTGACAATGAAAGTTCTTTCCTTCTTCTGAGTATGATGAACTCCCTTTATTTTTGCTAAAGCGATCTCATCATTTGAGTTATTAAAGCTACATGCCCGAAGTAGGACTCTTCGATAGTCGTTATCCCGATTTGTCCTTTAACGTTTAAGGCCCCTATGGTATACCGCGAAGTGATTACCATGTATGCCCGAACTATGCATTGGTTGGGTATTCCTCAGTTCAACCAACGTATTGAGACGAGCTATGCTTCGTAGGGTTTAAACCCGAGCTGCTTACGTCTTTGATATTTCATACCTTGCCTTCGCCATTGAAGTGGCTAAGTCTTTCTTCACGCTAAGGTCTATGTTAGCTCGGTGTTTTGGCCCTTGGGCTGAAGGAGTGGCTCGTGGCCCACTCTCGGAGTCTGCCCATGCCATAGAGGTGACTAGGTCCTGTTGTGCTGAGGTCATGTTAGCTCGGTATTCTGGCCCTTAG